AGAAAAAGCTGAGACCCGGCTGTCCGGGGGGGTCCCTTTAAGCATGAGCCTCAGATAGCCTCAGACAGCAGCCACTTAAAGCAACTACTGACCTGATGCCCTGCCAGAACCGGTTTCAGCCGCCCTTAAATGCCCCCCTGCGTCCAATCAGTGTGGACGCGCTAGTTCGAATTAGCAAAACGCTAATTCGAACTAGTTTTTAGTTCTAGACATGTTAGTTCGAATTAGCTTAGTTCGAATTAACCTGCCGGAACCGGTTTCAGCTGCCCTTAAATGCCCCCCTGCGTCCAATCAGTGTGGACGCGCTAGTTCGAATTAGCAAAACGCTAATTCGAACTAGTTTTTAGTTCTAGACATGTTAGTTCGAATTAGCTTAGTTCGAATTAACTAATTCGAACTAAGTTAGTTTGAATTAGCGCTGTAGTGTAGACGTACCCTGGGTGTGCAAGGGGCGGGGTTTATCTGGCCTCAGTGTGCAAGGGGCGGGGTTTATCTGGTCTGGGTGTGCAAGGGGCGGGGTTTATCTGGCCTCAGTGTGCAAGGGGCGGGGTTTATCTGGTCTGGGTGTGCAAGGGGCGGGGTTTATCTGGCCTCAGTGTGCAAGGGGCGGGGTTTATCTGGTCTGGGTGTGCAAGGGGCGGGGTTTATCTGGCCTCAGTGTGCAAGGGGCGGGGTTTATCTGGTCTGGGTGTGCAAGGGGCGGGGTTTATCTGGCCTCAGTGTGCAAGGGGCGGGGTTTATCTGGTCTGGGTGTGCAAGGGGCGGGGTTTATCTGGCCTCAGTGTGCAAGGGGCGGGGTTTATCTGGTCTGGGTGTGCAAGGGGCGGGGTTTATCTGGCCTCAGTGTGCAAGGGGCGGGGTTTATCTGGTCTGGGTGTGCAAGGGGCGGGGTTTATCTGGCCTCAGTGTGCAAGGGGCGGGGTTTATCTGGTCTGGGTGTGCAAGGGGCGGGATTTATCTACTCTGGGTGTGCAATGGGTGCAGTTTATCTGGCCTGGCCGTGCAAGGAGACAGATTTTGTCCAAGCTGTTGAATGCAAACCAGTCCTGGGGGTCTCCCAACCTCTCCCCCTTGGCCTGCCGCTGGGGGAGGGGTCATGCACCCTGCTGGCCCCAATCCACCCATCATGCCTAGGCCCAGGCAGGCTCCTCTCCCATGGCTCCATTTGGAGCTGAGATCGATTGGGGGAGGGATCCCTGTCAGCTGCAAGCTGCCCAGGGCTCAGGGAAGGTGGCTGCTGGGCCATTGCCCTAGTTGGAGGAAACAGATGTGGAGAAGGGAGTAGAGTCTAGTGGCTATAGCGGGGACAGCTGGGCTATAGCGGGGACAGCTGGGCCATGTAGCTCAGCTCTGAGGCAGTGATGTGAGAAGCCCCCAGGAGGAGGGGTGGGGACAGTGACATGTCTGGACACTCGCCTCGCCCAGCTCCCGGGGGACTGGCAGATGCTAAATCTCTTTCCATCCTTGTGATTCAGTGGGTAGCCCCGGCTGCTCCGTGATTTATTGATCCTGGGCTCCATCCAGCTCCCGCCTCCCTTGGCCTCCCGGCCCTTCGCTCTCCGGCTTCTATTCCAGTCAGCTTCCGCCGGGCCGCGTTATCAGGCAGCTCACGGCAGGGCCCCGCCCGGGCGCGGAGCATGAGACAGTCCCTGCCTTGCAGCGCTCGCCGTCTGAATGCACAAAGAGCGGCAGGGGAAACTGAGGCACCGCCAGGCCTCAGAACTGAGGGCGCCCGGCCTGGCCCTGGAGAAGCTGGGCCCCATCACAGGGGCCAGAATGTTCCCTGCCCCCACCCTTTCTCTGTGGGAGCTGGAGGAGGGGTCCCCAAGGGACCGGCAGCTGTCAGGGGGAGCAGACTATAAGCCAGCTGTGGGCAGAGGGCCGGGCAGGGATGAATGCACACAAAAGGCCTGGCTGATCTGCATGCACAGAGGCCCGTTCAGCCCACTCACTTGGCCATGGCACCTCCGGCCGCAGGATGCTGGGAGCCCGTGTCCCACCCTTTGCGGCATGGGGCTTCCTGGGGCCGTGACCGGACTTTGGCCCTAGCGGCTCAGCGGCCCGCCCTGCGTGACCTTTCCCAGGGCCCGGATCCAGCGCCGCTCACTGCGCCCAGCATCCTGGGGCCGGGCTCCCAAAGCCCCTAGGCACCATCCCCACTGCCATAGGGAAAGGCCAGCGCCTCGCCCTGCTCCCCGCAGCGCCCCCTGCTGGGAAAGGCTGGGACTGCAGTGGCTGGATATAAGGTGCCCATATAAGGTGCTGGGATGTGGGGTGTGGCCAGGTGAAGGGGACAGCTCCCCCTATGCCCCCCTGTGGTGTTGGGAATGGGGTGTCCTGGGGCCGTGACCGGACTTTGGCCCTAGCGGCTCAGCGGCCCGCCCTGCGTGACCTTTCCAGGGTGAGAGCGCCCCCTAGTGCCCATATAGGGTGCTGGGATGTGGGGTGTGGCCAAGTGAAGGGGACAACGCCCCCTACTGCCCCCCTGTGGTGTTGGGAAGTGGGGTGTGGCCTGGTTTGAGGGTGAGAGCGCCCCCTAGTGCCCATATAGGGAGCTGGGATGTGGGGTGTGGCCAGGTGAAGGGGACAGCTCCCCCTATGCCCCCCTGTGGTGTTGGGAATGGGGTGCGGCCAGGTGAGAGGGACGGTTCCCCCTAGTCCCCCCTGTGG